TCCATCACATCTTGCATGACTCGAACTTTGCATACATACAAACACGCACTGACATTCCATAATCAAAGGCTAGTTGATTTGTGTATGAAAAAGAGATGTGAACGAATTTACTTTTTTGATAATTTCAATTGTAGAATCGGAAAATACTTAGTATTTGAGTGATTTGGCTTGCAACTGGTCATTCTTTTCACATGATTCAGTGTGTCCATAATGTATGGCTTCTCGCTTGAACAATGTGCGTCCCTTTCATACAGACGAGAGTTTAGCTTCAATTTGTCGGCATGCACGACGGTGAGTTGAAGAATTCCCTTTTTACTCCGATTTTTCGGCTTCCGGTGAGGCAAATTCACGAATACCTTCCAATCGACTTTTCCCGCAAAACGAATGGCATGACAACTTTATCAGCAACTTTCATGTGGTCACTTTGGACAATTCCCACGGGTTGGCTACATTTGCATACAGCATCTCACGATTGGATGCGAGAAGTGAAGACAGCGGTTTAACATCTCTTGTTGATGGGCTGTTTACGGCCAGCGACGGTTGCTGGCTGTATCCAGTTGAGCCAGACGACGGTCGGTCGAATGGGCAACAAAGCGGGAAGGTATGCATCATACAGGACGGCAGGAGCACCAATTTCGGGTGAAACAACGAAATGACATCACGAAACTACTCAGTCATCGGCATTTGTGGCAAAATAATTGGCGAGATTGCAATTTCGGTTGACTTTTGATACCGATTTGTGGAACCGGCTCTCCTTGAACGTAAATCAACTGACTGGCGGCATGGCAACTGTATGACTCCAGCTTGTTGACAAAATTGGACAGAAAGTTGCTGCGAATCGACCTTGCACAAACAGACAAGCAACGCCCAATACAGACGGTGGAAGTATCGGAATAAATTCACTTTTAAGAAGAATACTTTTATTTAGAATTTCGTTATTTCGGTAAATGTGATAAAAGGATTTGCAGTTGAACCTTCCAACAATCAAATGAGTATTTTTATTTTGGCACGAGTAGGCCCCAGCTATGACTTCGCCTGAACTGGTCTCATGTTTAGCGCCAGCGAGACTCGAACCCGAGTTCTTGCAATGCAACTCATAATCTCGACACGTTTACCACTGCTTCACGTTGCCATGGATGCC